GAGCCCGACGTGGGGCTCGATCCCAGGACCCCGGGATCATGACCTGAGCCGAAGGCAGCCGCTTCACCGACTGAGCCCCCCAGGCGCCCCTGAAGTGCATAATTTACACTAGATTTAATCCTATCGAGAACCTTCTGAGGTAACCTTGATGCAGTCAGTTCTAGTAGGATGGGATAGTGACAGAAACGATTGTAAGTAGGTTGAGGAAGGAGTGGGAAGTGAATATATGGAGACCACGTGGGACAGGAGCATGGGAGACGGAGTGAGTGAGCGGGTGTGTTATTCTGTGCACGGCGTGGAAGTGTTTATATGTCAGTGCTTCGGGGCCCAAGATCCCATCTGTTTTGACCTGCTTCACAGGATGGTGGTGATCAGCCCCATTTTGCAGGCAAAATGTGAGAGTTCAGGTCCATGAGTATTTGCTTGTGGGAAATGGTTAACATCAATAATGGGTCCAAGATTGTGTTTTTTATGTGAATAAACAATAAATCTTAACCATTTAGGTGAAGGATGCTAAAATGGAATTGAGTTCAGCCTCAGGGCAGGGGTGGGGAGTCTACCAAGTACACAATGTTGGTATTTCATTCCCCTTTATTTTTCAGGTTATGCACGAATACAGTCCTATAACATCCTACATATCCTTATTTAACCGGTACGACCTGAGTTAGAAGCCTGGGGTCATAAATAAGGTTATTTCTTTATTTTTCAGAATATATTGGCTTGAAGGGCACCTGGGTGGCTCAGTCGGTTAAGCACCTGCCTTTGGCACAGGTCGTGATCTTAGGGCCCTGGGGTTGAGCCCAAGTCGGGCTCCCTGCTCAGCGGGCAGTCTGCTTCAGATTCTTTCTCCCTCTCTCTCCTACTCAGTCGCTCTCTCTCAGATAAATAAATAACATTTTCTTTTATAAAAAAATAAAAAACAAAAATAAGAGTGCCCACTTGAAAGATTAAAAGGAAATTCCGGGGCGCCTGGGTGGCTCAGTCGTTAAGCGTCTGCCTTCGGCTCTGGTCGGGACCTCAGGGTCCTGGGATCGAGCCCCGCATTGGGCTCCCTGCTCCGTGGGAAGCCTGCTTCTCCCTCTCCCGCTCCCCCTGCTTGTGTTCCCTCTCTCACTGTGTCTCTCTCTGTCAAATAAATACATAAAATCTTAAAAAAAAAAAAAAAAGGAAATTCCATGTAACCTTTTTTTTTAAGATTTTATTTTTATTTATTTGTCAAAGAGAGAGCGAGAGCGAGCACAAGTGGGGGGTGGGCGGCGGCAGGCAGAGGGAGAAGCAGGCTCCTCAGTGAGCAAGGAGCCCAGTGCGGGACTCGATCCCAGGACCCTGAGGTCCCGACCAGAGCCGAAGGCAGATGATTAACCGACTGAGCCACCCAGGCATCCCTCCATGTAACCTTCTTATCCCTCTTTGGACTTTCCCTTATGCCTTGAATTACCCAATTGTACAGCATCTTAACTCAGTTCAGAGGTAGCTTCCCCGTTTCAATATGCCTCTGTAGTGACCAACAGTCACTAAAAGACCCTGTTCTTCAGCTGCTGACATTCTTAGGATTGGATTCAGGAGACTGGAGTGGGCAGGGAGATGTTGGAATACTTTTCCCCTAGATAATCTCATTTCCAGGCCTCACATTGGCAATGACTTGATACATCTACCAAAGGCTATAGCTTGTGTAGGGCACCCCTCTCCTACATCTGTAGCTATAGGGGGTGACCGTATCCTCTGTTGTCCAATCTGAGTCATTTTGGGGACTAAAAAAGGGTGTTAGAGTTGATTAAAGTTAAATTGGCTTTTGAAGTTTTTACATATGACTAACAAATTGGTTTTAAGTTTGGACATTTAAAATAGTATTAATATATTTTTCTTAAGTTTTATTTATTTGAGAGAGAGAGAGACAGAGAGAGCACAAGCAGGGGGAAGTGCAGACTCCCTGCTGAGTAGGGAGCCCAACATGGGGCTCGATCCCAGGACCCTGGGATCATGACTTGAGCTGAAGGCAGATGCTTAACCAGCTTACGGAGTCCTCACGTGACCTTTCTTTGGTGTGTGTGAGGGGGAGAGAGAGCACAAAGCTCTCAGTGACCCTTCTTACAAGGACACTAATCCTATCAGATTGGTCCCTTCCTTGTGAGCTCATTTATTTATTTTTTTATTTATCTCTACACCCAACATGGGACTTGAACTCATGACCCCAGGATCAAGAGTCACAGGTTCTATTGACTGGACCAGCCAGGTACCCCTCCTTAGGAGCTCATTTAATCTTAGTTACTTCCTTAGAGACCCCATCTCCAAATACAGTCAGTCACCCTGGAGGTCAGGGCTTTGACATACGAATTTTAGGGGGACACATTCAGTCCATAGCCCAGATGAATGACATAATTCACGTATGCATTAACTTTCTTGGAAAATTAATTCATTACTCATTTTCCCTAAACATGCATCTGTTCTTTTGCTCATTGCTGCCAAAAGGGTTTATTGAAAACTAAAAAAGGGGTTACCAAATTATTAAACAAATAAGTAGTTATTAGGTTTATACTATAGCAAGAACATTCAGACTAATCTCTACACTGCATGACAAGACATCGGAGTTGAGTTTTCCTATAAATGTTTCACGTAAACATAACCTAGAGTATCTCACATTTCCCGGCGATCCCCCCAACTTGATAGCCTGGCAGAATCTTGCCATTTTTAGGCTGTGGTGTGTATTTGGGGCTGACTATGTGCCAGGCACTGTTCTATAAGTTTTATAGGTACAGATTAATTCTCCCTTCAACTCTCTGTGGTAGGTCCTACAGTTATGCTCTCATTTTATAGATGAAGAAATCAAGGCCCAGAGAGGGTAAGTAACTTGCCCAAGGTTGCAAGTTGAGTAAGTGGCAGCATCAAGGTTTGAACCCAGGCAGCCAGATTCACACTTTTGCCCTGACTTATGTACTTCCCTGTGTCTCCAGAGGGACTTGTGAACATGACCAATGGTTTAATGAATCCCGTGCTGCTCTCAAAGAGCTTGGCCTGTGAGGCCCAGCTGAGGCTTCTCCCCAACAGACTTTGGGAAACCAGTGAGAGAATCAATGCCTAGAGGATTACAAACATCCTTTCTGACAGGAAGACCTCCAGGTTACCTGTTTTAAAAGGTTCAAAATATACTTTCGATGTAATAGAAATTATTTTAGGATCTTTTTTTTTTAAAGATTTTTTTTTTATTTATTTGAGAGAGAGAGAGAATGAGCGATAGAAAGCACGAGAGGGAAGAGGGTCAGAGGGAGAAGCAGACTCCCTGCTGAGCAGGGAGCCCGACGTGGGACTCGATCCCGGGGCCCCAGGATCATGACCTGAGCCCAAGGCAGTCGCCCAACCGACTGAGCCACCCAGGCGCCCCTATTTTAGGATCTTACAATGTCAGAGTAACTGTGAAACTGAACATTGCCAAGACTAAGAAATCATTCCAACTCAGTTTCTCTCCGTGGCTGTTTTAGGTTTCGAGCCTTACCAGGGGGACCGAGTAGAAGTTGAGTTTTGCACCCAGTCGGACATGTTGAGCAGAAAGGCCCTCTCGGTGAAGCCTCTGAGACATAAGCATGTGCACGAGGTAGTCCGTCTGCGTGTAGCTCTTGTTTTCTGGTTCTGCTTCTCCTTCCTCTAGTGACCCTCGCTGCTGCTCGGGATTCCATGGGGTGTGTTGGCAAAACCATTCTTTGCCAAAGAGGAGTCTCTTTCCTTATTGAGCAGGCCGTGCTTCTAAACAGACATGACCTGAGAATAATGTACAACACATATATAATTAAGATCTCAATTAGGTAGTCTACTTGGGAGGTATTAAAATGCCCCGAGAGCAACCAGAACAGAAAACAGATCGTGTTGAGGGAATTGTGGGGGAAGAATGAATGGCATGGTGGGGGGGACCGGAGCCTGCAGTAAATGCTGGGTGTGACTTGGGGAACGGAGACTGGAAATAAATGGGAAAGTCGGTCTGCACACAGGGACAGATGGCGCTTGGGATGTGGCCCAGGAAGTGGAGAAATGGCATTCTGTGGGCCACCACATTCCTTTCTCGCTCTACCCCTTTCACTCCCTCAACCATTGCCAGAACGGTTAATGGACATTGTGTGGTGTGTTTAGTGCAGAGTTTCTAATCCTCGACCAGGGCCAGGTCTGCAGGGCTTCTGACTTAGCGTCTTGAGGTAGGGGTCACCATGGGTCGTTGTACAGAGCGCTCCCGGTGTTTCAAACATGGCGGCCAGGCTGGGAATGGAGCGACCTACAGATTAAAGGGAGAGCGAGGAGGTGCAGGCCGGGTTACAGCGGACCGTGCTTTTACATCGACATTTCTATTATCTGTAATTACAGGTCTGCATTACTAGCCTACATGGAAGAAATGGGGTGATAGATGATAGCATCTTTTTCACCTTGGAATCTCTGAAGCTGCCTGATGGTTACACACCTCAGATATCTGACATTGTTAACGCTGTCGTGGTGGAGAGCAGTCAGTCCTGCTACACTTGGAGAGCGATTTCTATGACTCCAGTGAAGAGGCGGTAATAAGAAAACAGCATTTGTATCCCCTGTGCCACTTCTCTTGTCAGCAAAGGACCTGGTTTAAATGCTTTTTGTGAAAAATAGCTCAGTAAGCCTCAACAGTTAATTCAAGCACAACCTTTCAAGTTCTGTGTAGGTTGGCTGAATGGAGTGTGCCTTCTGGAGAGTGGCCAGCATTTTCCATTATCGATTAAAGACATTTTCATCTTAATCCTTTGTAATAATCTTATATTTGATTTTCTCTTTTTAGTGGATTTGTTTTTTTTTAAAGACTATTTATTTATTTGAGAGAGAGAGAGAACATGAGCGGGGTGGGGGGAGGGATGGAGAGGGATAAGTAGACTCCCTGCTAAGCACAGAGCCTGATGCAGAGTTCAATCCCACAACCCTGAGACGATCTGAGCTGAAGTCAGATTTATTTGAGAGAGTGAGCGAGAGAGCACTAGCCGGCAGGTGGGAGAGGGGCAGAGGGAGAGGGAGAAGCAGGCTCCCCACCGAGCAAGGAGGCTGACATAGGACTCGATCCCAGGACCCTGGGATCACAACCTGAGCTGAAGGCAGATGCTTAATCCACTGAGACACCCAGGCGCCCCTAAGAACCTTTATTTATTTTTTATTTTTTATTTTTTTTAAAGATTTTATTTATTTATTTGACAGAGAGCGAGAGAGGGAACACAAGCAGGGGGAGTGGGAGAGGGAGAAGCAGGCTTCCCGCGGAGCAGGGAGCCCAACGCAGGGCTCGATCCCAGGACCCTGGGACCATGACCTGAGCTGAAGGTCTGAGCCACCCAGGCGCCCCAAGAACCTTTATTTTTAAAACACAATGTGCACCATAAGTTTTTTTTTTTTTAATCTGAGTTTGCATTACAGGTTGTTGAGATCTCCCAACCCTGTAGTGGTTAGTTAGTTCCCCCACATTATGGTCAGTAGGTGGAGTTAGTATCGTCTAGATTTTAGGTATTCACTCATTGATTCACTCTAGAAATAGTGATTGCCTTCTATGTGGCAGCTCCTGGGGTTATAGCCTTGAACACAAAGGCCCAAATTCTCTGCCCTGAGGGAACTTGCCTTCTGTTCATGCCCACCTGGCTTCCTGAGCCCATGGAGTCCCGGGACAGTTCGGGGCAAGTGGGAGCAGTGTCGGCTCCGGGTCCCCATGAAAGTCATCCTGCTAAACAGTAGCACCCCCGTGGGAACCAGCGAGAAGCCCAGCGTGGCACAGGAGAGATGCAGGGGCCATGGATTCTCCCACCTCCCCACTGCCCCGTACTCTCCCACCGGGTTCATGTGGGGGAGTGTGTCCTTGAGACGGACAGGGGCTCACCATGCTCCTTGGCCATCTCTCTCGCCCCCATCAGGGCATCACCCGGGCCTCCCTGAATGGATGATGTCATGGCGCCAGGACCAGGGAGCAGGAAGTACCCGTCTGGGCTGTGGTAGCAACGAGGTTTTAATAAATTGCATGAAAACCCAGGGACCTGGCACCTCATGTTTCCAGGCCCCGGTGTTCTGTGGTAGAGCTTGCCAACTGGTGTGCTGGGAGCGAGTAGCAGATGGGCTGATGTACAAGTACCACCCCCCACCCCAGCTCACTTAGGGATCAGTGCAGTGAAGGAAAGGAACTAAGACAGTCCTCTTGAGCAGCATCGGCCAACTACAGCCCTTGTACCAAATCTGATCTATGTCTGTATTAGTCTAAACAGCTTTATTGAGAGGCAACTCACATAACATACAATTCACCCATTTAAAGTATTCGAGTCAATGGTTTTTAGTCTATCTGCCGTGCTATGCAACCACTACCACAATCTTAATTTTAGTACATTTTCACTCCCTCTTGAAAACACACTATGTCAGGAAGAAACATTGGATTGCACATTTCACCTTTTTAAAAAAAGATTTTATTTATTTATTTGAGAGAGAGAGAGAGAGCACAAGCAGGGGGTAGTGGCAGAGGGGGAGGAAGAAGCAGACTCCCTGCTGAGCAGGGAGCCTGATGCAGGGCTCAATCCCAGAACCCTGGGATCATGACCTGAGCCAAAGGCAGACGCCCATTTCACCTTTTTGATAGAGTCACATACACATTTTAAAGTCAGCTCTTCAAGTGGTTCTGAAGCCCGACAAACATTGAGACCCAACTGCATCCAGTTGGTCACTCATGGCATCAGATGCCGCTTGCGATCTGAATTACAAATTGCCATTCACCACGCAGGTATGCTGCTTAAGTTTTTAAAATGTGCAACCATTCGCCTACTGCAATCTGTCTTGAGCCCAAACTCAAGGGTCATAAGACTATTGTTCAGGGCGCCTGGGGGGCTCAGTTGGTTAAGCGACTGCCTTCGGCTCAGGTCATGATCCTGGAGTCCCGGGATCGAGTCCCGCATCGGGCTCCCT